CAATTTACCATGGAAGACAAATGAGGGTTTTGGCAGAACACCTGAGCACAATTGGAGGCTAATTAGGGAGTAATTAGGGGCTAATTAGGTCAGTCCCAGAGGACTGACCCAGCAGAAGCCCACAGGATCTGAGTGCAGGGAGTGCTGTGGAAAGATGGCTCATGGTTTAAGGTGCAGTTCTCTGTCGTGCTCCAGGGGGGTTTGGTGCTTTTGCAGAGGTGCAGATGTGCCTGAGCAGGGGGAAGMTGGGAGCTAAAGTTAATCCACCCTGCCACTTCTGCTCCCTGCACACAACCTGTTGGTGCTGCCTCTGCAGCCCCGAGGGATGGATGGGCTCCTGGCCTTGCTGGGATTGCAGTCCCAGGTTGGAGTGGCACTGTCACCAGCTGTGTGTCACCAGCTGTGTGTCACCAGCTGTGGGTGCCCCGGGCTCCTGCGCTGTCCCAGATGTGTCTGCACCGCAGCAGAGAGGGCTCCAGCTGTGCTTCATGGAGTGAATTCACTCTGATTCACCAGGGGGGAAAATGCGAAAACAACAGCTCAAAAGCTGGTGGTTTGCAGCAAGGAATGGGAGGCTGGGAGTTCCTTCAGCAGTGTGCCCCAGGAATGGAGATGAGTGGCAAAGCAGCACATCAGAAGTGCTGATCCTCGTGTGGCTGCAGARAAGGTGCTCAGCAGTCGGCTCAGGTGCTCGTCTGCTCCCACACTGACAGATGAAGTGTCCACAAAAGCAAACCAGCTGCATTTCAATGGTGGCTGGCTGGTCTGAACGCTGCTCACYGAGGTTTCAAATGAAATTCCAGCTCGTTGATGTGCTGACAAGCYGCAGATGATGGCTGTGAACAGGACACACAGTTCAGTCTCCCAGCTGCTCATGCTGGTCTCTGCTCTGGGCTTGCCAGAAAGTTCCCTTCTCCCTATCAGAAAGTGGAGGTAAAATATTAGAAACTGCTTTATTAGGACAATATTGCTGCTGTGAGATTGGTGAACCCTAAGGCTGGTACTGTTAAAGTGCAGTTGTTTCATAAGGACTGCAGGTGCAGCTGTATTTTTCTGAGCCTTTCAGAAAGAGGTCACGAAAAAAACAAAACAATATCATGAGCCAGCAACTGTGGATTTGGTGGATGTCCTGAAGGGAGTGACAGAAAACACAGGGAGAGGCAGTTTTCATGGCAGGCAGTGTGTTCATGCTTCAGTAACTCAGAGCATCTGTTTGAGCGTTGCCTGCCATGATGGGTAAGGCAGAATCAGGAGATGTCATGTAGCTGGGTTTCCATAAAGAACATGATATCAAACATTCATGAGCAAGGCAAAAAAACTCCAGAAAATAAGGTGGTGTCATCCCAAACTGTTGCAAATGGAGAATTCTTCTGAAGACCTGCARAGGCAAAACTAATCAATAACTTGGGCACTTTTTATTCCTTCRGTGGAAGATGGTCTGGAGTGATAGGAGAAAATTACTGAAATATCACTGAGTTTTTAGGTGGCTTTAGAAAAAAAAAAAAGAATTTGAGGGATTTTTGGATGGACTGTCTGAGTGCTGCTCTCCTTCGATTTATSCTGAATGAGAAGCAAAAGAGAAAAATAGAAGCTTGTCTCTGAGTGGTTAATTTTCACAAATGTGAATTTTTCCCAGCAGAAGCAAGAGGGTTTCAACACAGGCTGTTGTTAGGCTCTGCAAATGCCAAGTGTCTGCTCTTGGGAGATGGAGAACAAAGTTGGCACCAATAATTAGTGGCTGATTTGGCAAAAGTTGCTGAAAATTGACATCTGATGGAGAGGTGTKGGGATGATTTAGTAAAACACAGTGCAATTTGAGATTACTTTTGTGATGTTACTGTGCAAAGTGCAGGGGTGATCAGAGGGAATGTAATGTGGAAAATGTGAAGGAGGAATTTGGTGTCTTATTTAGTATTTGTGCTTTCTCTAGGGCTTTYCTAGCATATTGTTAGCAGCACAATGATACAGCAAAGTTACTGATGTTAACTAAGGAAAGTTGAGATGCCAAAACACCATAAATTTCTCATTTGCTACAGATGGAACTTTGTTTCTCTTCCTCTTTGCTAAGATACGGGTATTAATTTCACTTGGATGTAACTGTCACTTAGGAGCAAACCCAGCATGGGAATTACATCACATGGTCCAGCAAATGCAASAATTCATCATCCAAGAGCCTGAGAGGCAGAGCAGCACTGGGGGAAGGCTCCATGGGGTTTGTGGTCAGGCGTGTGTGGAGGCATCCCTGCCCATCCAGGGAGAGCCTCTGGGAAAGAACACTGGGTGGGAAGTTGGGATAGGAACCAGAGGATCTTGCAGCTACTGTTGTAAATGTTTTGAGCCGTGTTTCTGCTCTTGGGGTGGTTCCAGCACCAGCTGGAGCCAGTATGGATTACTCTCTGCTGAAAAACCCATGGGGTTGGTGCCTCAAAGGTTGTCTTGAGGGGGAACCGCTGAGGGGTGAAGGTGACTGCGTGTACGGGGAATTTTTGTGCTCCAAAGAAAAGTTAAAGTGGTTGGTTGGCACCTACTGGCAGTRAGATGACTTCCAGGGAACCTCCTGATAACTTTTCTCAGGAGTTGGCAGGACTGTAGGGACTCCAGGGTGACAGTGATGAAGTGAGCAGCAAAGAGGGAGGACAGGCAGAGTCGCTGCAGGATGGTAGGATCACATTTTGCCTCTGGCTGATTTTCTCACAGCAGGAATAGAGACACCGCTCCAGGAGTTAGTTTGACACATRAGAGAAAGAAATGGAAGCACAAAAGCTCAGGATACCTTGACAGCCAATCACCCACCCAAACAGAGCCCCCCAGCCAGCAGAGCTTGCTGTCCACAACCTCAGTGCAGGGCTCAGGCTCTTCCCCTGCCCAGCACTGCTGCTCTGCAATAGCAGCTCTGAGGGCTTTGTCTTGCTGCTGATCGCTTCAGCTTTTATCTGCAGCAGAGAGAAGACATGACCTGCAGCCCTTGCCAGCCTAGSCTTGCTTTTCWACAGAGCTTTTAAGATTTATGGTCAAATTTTACAGTAACTGTGATTTGCCTTACGGATTGTGAATGTATGATTGCTCCAGGGTCCCACAGTGAGTCCCCTCTGAGGCTTGGTTGTTACCTGAGCACCAGCAAGGAAATTTTAATGCTGAAGTTTTCCTGGAGGAGTAGAGCACGAGGCAGGGCTGGAGCCTGATAAGGAGCTGCTCCATTGCTGCCAGGCCACACTCCTTGTCCCTCCGTGGTACACCTGGGAGTGGCAGCTGGGTTCTTTGTGAAGAATGAATTTTCATTTTGAATCATGGATTCTGACCAGACTAATTTCAAAAGTTGGTGACCCCAGGAGCAGAAGCTGCTGGGAGCCTTGAGGCTGGCAGTGAGAACCTGGTGGTTGTGCTTGTTAGCTACATTAAAGGCTGCTCTTTGGGGACAAGGACACTGGGGCTCTGTGGGGATGTAGGAACATGGGGGACCTTCCTTCTGTCCACTGAGCAAGGGGAGCCCTGCAGCTGTGGGTCTCAGGACAAGCATGGCCTTGAAGCTTGCTGGAAAAAGGCAAGAAGCTGTGTGTTTCAGGGGCAGCCCAGAGGTCTCTCCAAGGAGAGCAGAGATGAGCTTCTCACCACACAAGGCTCAGCCTGGGGCAGTAAGGGATGCTCTGTGGGGGTTGGGGATGCCTGGTGTGTGTTCCTGCTGGCAGCTGGGGGCTGTGCAGGTCGTGTGCTGTTGTCACCTCAGTGGGGAGCCCTGGGGACTCTGCTCAGGCTGCACAGGAYCTGCTGACTCAGCAGCCCGAGGCAGCGGAGCTCAGGCAGGAGCAGATGTTCTTGTAATGAGCCCAGTGATCTGGTGACTCATTCGTCCCTTCCCAAGCTGCCAGTTTTGATGTGAAAACTTCAATAAATGAAAATGGAGAATCCCCTTTTGTAGCATTTCCAAGGGTTGTTTCTCATTTCTGGTTTGAAGGTGATGGCTTGGGCTTCCTCCCTYTGCTTCCCATTGTATTTCTGTGAATGAAGCGTTGGGAACTTTACCCRACCYACAGCCCTCTTGCCACCTTTCCTGRCCTAASTGAGYCTTTCCTGACATTTGTTAAAATCAAGAGGTTCTGGAATCACCAGGCTCTTGTAATGCAAATGGTGATAATGATATTAATGCTAATAATTGTTACTCTGTAGGATGAAATGTCAAGATTCCATATTTTCATGTTAATTTTTAGTAGGAAAGTGCCACATTAAGAATGTCCATCCTGCCAGAGAACATGCTTTTCATATCACAGGAACTGTTAGAAATCATTATTAATGAAGGAGACAACTGTTGTGCCTGATGGGTTGGTCTTTGACACACAGTAATGCAAAGTGACATGGAAAATTTGGAGTGAAGGATAAGAAGCTGTTAAAAAAATGTGAATGTAGCTATAAAATAATTAATCTCATCTCTATAATGTGGTTCTGAGCTGTAGTGGTAAATAGGATCCATGTCACTACTGTTGGATTGCATGTGTGTAACTGGGAGAGGAGCTAAAGGGTTGAGGGTTTGGTGGTACCTGCCTGGATAGCAACGGGCAGCACTGACAGCTGCACTTACCCTGAAACAGGAGCCTGTGGGCAGTGAGATCAGATTCTGAAGTATATCTCTATGTTTAATTGTCCTAAACAGAGCCTATCCTGGGTAGAACAGGAGTGTCCCTGGGGCACTGCCCCAATGCTCCTGGGCAGTGAGTTTTTGTTAGAAGTACTTTTAAGCCTGCAAAGAGTAAAATACTCGATTCTTCTCATCAAGACATTGGTATGACTTGCTGCTCTATTTATTATGCAGCATTACTTTGCAGAAAGTATTGCTTTTACTTTGGGTCACATTTTTCTCTCATTTAGGCCACTTTTAATTGACATTATGGGAAACTACTACTGTTACATAACACCGAGAACACAACAAATGCTGCTACTTCCAATTTATCTCAGCTGAAACATGAACCTCTCCTGGCTGATAACTCATTTGTCTGTTTGATTTTCAGCCTCCAACCTGAGTGGTTTGGGCAGCCTGGACAGCGCTCTGGGTCTGGTGGAAGAGCGTTTGCAGAAATCGAGGCAGCGCCGTCGAAGGCACGCGACRGAGGACGATTACAACATCGAGGTGCTCCTGGGGGTGGATGACTCCGTGGTTCAGTTCCACGGGAAGGAACACGTCCAGAAGTACCTGCTGACCTTGATGAACATTGTGAGTACAGCCCTGCTAGCCGCCCTGTGGGAAGCCTGGGGGTGTGGGTTGGGTAAGCCGTTTGAATAAGACGTAACAAATTTTTCTCGTGGCAGGAGATGAAATAATTCTAGGAGGGAAAATCCAGGCCACTTTCAGAAAATCCAATAGGGGACAAGCAAAAAAAAAAAAAAAAAAAAAAAA